ACTTACCAAACAAGTGATCGATATGGTAACAAATATTAACTACTGTTTCGAACACGACATCTGGAACATCCCCGGGATTTCACTTATTGTTTCCGAAGTACACTTTCCACCCGAGCTTTAATTAGTTCATCAGATAATTTAGTTTGCGCGTCGCTCGTTACGCCAACGAAGTGGACAGGCTAATGCAGCCTGAGCCTATAATCTAATTATTCGACGAGACAAATACAAATTAGTGATGTTGCTTACCTGCTTACTCCGTTGCAATAAAAGGTTTTACCAACTTATTATGAGTCATTATAGAGATCGCGGAGTATCAAATTTGATAAATAATGAAAACATTGCATTATTTCTCTTGTAATCCTTACTATCCTTACTAATATTATTACTATATCTGTCTGTCAGTAACGCTTTCAATAATTTTAATGAAATTAGGCATGTAAATACTTTTACCGCTATGACAGACAAACACATGGGTTTAGCCACGGGCAAAAGCTAGTGTTACATAATTTAGAAATGCATTTACCGCCAGAATTTTTTTTTTTACAAAAATCAAACTAATTTCAGAGAGTTTTACAAGGGCAGTGGAACTCACATCTAAGCAGTGTTTAGTCTGAGAGCAGCAGAGCTACAGGCTTGCGGGGCTTTCTAGTGTCAAAAACCCCTCTCGCTGATGATCATCATGATTCCGCCCTTGGTCTGAAACGATAGTACATACGATTCGTGTGATGTGTACAGATGTGCACAGAGGGCTATCGGCTGTCTGTTATTCTGTGTAGTTTAGTTGATATCTAAACAGTTGGTTTGATTTCAAATAAACTACACAGTGAGCTGTGTCAGTTTGGTTTCTGCAAGGGATTCCTTCGGCACTACTGCAAAAGTTGGGGAAATACTGCAAGGGTCTTTCTACTGCAAGACCCTTGCAGTTTCCCAATTATTCTAGCCAGAATAACAGTCAGTCGATAGCCCTCTGTACACATTTAGTTGATATCAAACCAACTGATTTGATATCAACTAAACTACAGCGTGGTAGTTTTCCCGTGCTACAAAAATCATAATGAAAGGGAAGCTTTTATTTTCATTCTTTGTTTGTCGTTTACATTTTTCCGGCTTCTGTGTGCTAATTACAACCCTTGTTTAAACCTTCGTTCTACATACGATTATCTTTTGCTACTCTTCACACCACACTGCGTGTGTTCATTCTTCGTTTCTAATACAATCTGCCCTCCTATGGAAGGCTCTGCTTCTGGAGTTCAGGATGGAACCTAGTCGCCTTTCGTTGAAGACAAAAGTTCCACTTATATTTGGATTACACTAGCAAATTTATTTACCACAATTCCTGGTACGTTATTTATATACATATGTTCTTGATAACTTGTTAGTTATTTTTTTCCTACTAAAATCTAGTGCACACTTTAATTGGTAATTCACACCTCACAAAATTGTGATTATTAGAATATGTAGTAATATAATTAAACTTCCCTGCATACATCGTTTTTAACTATGAGAAAGACTTTATTATCAAAATTATATTGTATTGATTGATTGTACTTTTAATTTTTAAACAATTATTTACCAATTATTACGTTTTATATGCTTATTATACTTTTATATTTATCTTTTAGCATATCTTACACCACGATTTGGAAAATATACAAATCTCAGTTAAAATGAATGCTTCTTTTTAAATTTAAATTTGTTATTGTGGCATTTGGTTTACTAACTACAACTTAGTCAGCATAGTCCTATTTCAGCAAAGCATTGCCTGAGCAATTGATTAATTGATTCGATAATTGCAAAATTTTGCGAGGACTGCCTGATATTATCTTACACTTTCTTCGCTTTGGAACTATCACTGATATATCGTGTTTTAACCTTTCACGGTTTGAATGCTCTCTTCGACTAAACTATCATTCACTATTTTTAACAATGTGGCTTAAGAGTTATTGTGTTAACATCGCAGTATATAATTTAGACGATGTATCGACGAAAAGTTTCTTCGAAGAACTTCACTTTTTGTTATGAACGTTTATCAATGCCATTTATTTGCTCTATATCGTGACGCAATACCATTAGGTTATATAAACAGGGCTATTATTTATAAAATAATTATAATAAGATAGCAATAATATAAGAACTTTTTGAGCCGCACTTTTTCGTCACGACTCCACTGAAGCGAGATGTGTCACATTTTTTGTATACTAAATAAAAATATTTCACTGTCGTAAAAAGTGTATTTTGCCTTGTTCCTTTGTTGCGAAACAGACAGTCTATTCGTTATTATGGTATATTACATTTTTCAAGTTATACCTACAGAGACTTTTCCAGTTATAAACGAATGACTTTATTATGTTTTTCTTCATTATCTTTGTTCTCTTCATTACATTATACTGAAAATGTCACCATAGCAACTGGTGTTTCTTTTCATAGAATCTTGTAATACCTTATTTACAATAAGGTTTTAAGTAGGTATTAACGTATACGTATTAACCTTGTTTGCATTTTTAAATTAAGTTTGTGCTCATTAAATCACCAAAAAATTGATTGTTTTTTTTAAGACTGTTAATTACTGACATAAAGACTGTTAATTAAATACAACGAACAGAAAATACACCATTAGTCGTGATATCAAATATAACGTCTTCTCAAGAGTTTGTATTATGAACGCCTCCACAAAACGCAAGATCGTCATAAAAATGGCGAATGTACATCGACATTTTAAGCCTGCAAATAGTTATATAACAATAATAAACCTTTTTATATTTTTTTCTGTACGAAAATCTCCTTGGATTCCACCCACAGGCTATGTCGGACTCGAACCGACTAAAAACCGCAAACCCTCTCAGTTACCAATAGCCGGGTATACCTCTAGTTAAAGCAAATCCCCAGACAACAATGAACCATGATACACATAGGTATTGCACGAATTCCAATCAAATAGTTGTTGTGTTAAAGTAGTCTGTACTGATGTAATTTCATTGGATCGATTGAGTACATTCGTTCAGTTAAATGTTTTTACTATGCAAGGCTACATACAAATGAATGGTCATTGTAAATTGATGGTTTAAATAAAACAAATTCTGTTCGACTGAAGCTACAGTTCATGCTTAATGTAAGACTATCTAGTTGAACAGTATGACATTTGGTTTTCTAAGACATTGTTCAATTAAAATTTCTAATAAAGGAAGAAACTGACAGACTGACTCACTGACTGATCGATCAACGCAAAGCTGAAACCGCTGGATATAGAAGCATGAAAATTTGCACAAATGTTCCTTAGGTGACGTAAATGTGCACTAAGAGAGGATTTTTAAATAAAATTTGCACAAATGTTCCTTAGGTGACGTAAATGTGCACTAAGAGAGGATTTTTAAATAAAATTTGCACAAATGTTCCTTAGGTGACGTAAATGTGCACTAAGAGAGGATTTTTAAATAAAATTTGCACAAATGTTCCTTAGGTGACGTAAATGTGCACTAAGAGAGGATTTTTAAATAAAATTTGCACAAATGTTCCTTAGGTGACGTAAATGTGCACTAAGAGAGGATTTTTAAAAACTCTACCCCTAAGAGTGTTTAATATACATATACCTTAAAAAATAGACAACGTTGTTACTAATTTTTCAAAACTACCCCTAAAAGGGAGTGCAAGTTTGGATGGAGAATGCACCTATAATCTTGGTTCATTGTATCCTCTACGATGTCTGATTTAGATCACCACGCGGAAGAAGTCGCGGGCTAGTATTTTATGAAGTAACAAAATTGTAGGCATACAATAGCTGACCTTTATGTAAATATTTTTTCTTTAACATTTTTTAATAAATTGAATGATTAATATTTGTATTAATTTTTCTAGTAATTTATCGAGTTAAAGTGCATTTTTGGTTAATGTAATGATGTTCCTCTAATAATAATCGATTCGTTTACACAAATACGAAAATTAAAAAAAAAAATGCCATCCATACTGTAACCTAATGTAACTATGACCAATCCTAACATTACAATGTCACTGTCAAAAGTTTAGGATAAAAACAATAAAAAAGTGCCAATAATTTTTAGAAATGACTTTAATCCTCTTTTTATTTGGAAATAATTACAGACTTTAAAAATCTTAATCTATAATTTATTTACAGCCAATATCTAGATAGTTACAACCTTATTTACTATTTATACACAAAGAAAGATTACTGTTGTTAAGTTATACATTCTGTGAACGCTTACCTACATTTTTACAACCTATATCACATTTTCATTTTATTTCTAGTGTCAATACAGTAAAGGGATTGAAAAATATTTGCAAACCAAAAGTCATTTTCTTCTCAGAAAAAAAAAAACGAAAAGAAAAAAAGTGTTTGGGTTATTACATGTCGCAATATTTAGTAAATAAACCCATATTAAAGTATTTTTAATAGTTGTAGGACGAATAAGTTTTAAATTGTTTGAATTCTACTGGCTGTATTTTACTAAAGATGAGCACGGTCAAGCATATAAAACAGAGCAACATGCGCCTCTGAAGGTTAATAACATGATGCTTAAATTCATAATAGAATATTAATTTGAGTCATTTCACTAACCACTCACATACTACTAACATTTTAAAATGATTTTATTTTGTATCTTAATATCGTATTGTCAAGCGTTTTATGTACATTTAGATATGTTATTTGATGAGAATATAATTACTGTGAGATTTCATGCAAAGTATATTAAGTCCAAGTGTGACTGACGCCTGTTATTTTACTTATGAATATTTAAGTTATTTACACAATAGTCTAAAAAGTCAAAGTCGTAGTCTTTGTCTCGGTAAAAACAAATTGCTTAACGATAAAAGCCAATATTGTACTATTAATAGTACAATCGAGTCTGAGTTTATATCGATCAAAATGTTAGAGGAGGCACTTTTGCCGATTTCAGTCTTCAATCTAATATTAACACAAAAGATTTTTTTTTTAATTTTAACGTCTAACAACGCTAAACCGTCGTTTCTACAAAATCCGGAGAGGGTCAACAAAAACCATCTTTTAAATCCGGATAGCCCAAATCAGGCATAGCTCTTCTGGAACCATTGCCTCTTGAGTTTTCTACTCGCAAACCTCGACCACCGCGACCTAAGCTAGCGTACCTTGTGTCCGCGAGCTTGTCTCTTTGAGCTACCTCGTCATAATAACGAGCATCGTTCAACCCTGCACTGTATTTTTGACTTAAGCTGTATTTATCTATTGTAGCGTACTTTTGCACTGTTGCATATTGACGCGCTGCTTCTGGGACACCGTTTGTTTTGGCGCGGTCAAATGGTCTTTCTTCTGGAGGCAGAGCACCATCTAACCTGGCTTTGAACTCCTTGTCTTTTCTTCGTCGCCTGCGACATGCGCAAAGAGCGACAATAATTGCACATAAAAGTAAACCAGCTCCAGCAGCAGCTGCTATGTAGGGTGGAGGTAAGGATATTCTGAATGAGCAATTAGAGTCATCTTCATCATAGCCTGAAGGACAATGAGGACTTCCATCACACCATAGCGCTATAGGAATGCAAGCATTTAATTCCGGGCAGCTAGACAAAGAAGAGATTCATGTTAATACAAAAATAAATAAAATAATCAAATATTGTACATCATAAACTAAGCAAGTATCTTACCTATAACGACATTCTAATGAAACTGGTGCTGGTATTATATTCGTTGACTCAGAATCGTGTTCAAAAGAAGGTTTCTTTATTAGTTCAATCCATTTAATCGAATAGTCAGCCTGTTCGTGTTGCAGAAAATCAATAACATAACTGCGAGCATGAGGTTTTAGAGATGTTTCCAACGTAGTTTGAGATGACTTCCATCCCGGTGAAAATAATTCTATGACGCTTGTGTCGTCGGGACACACTTCCTTAAATTTTGATGTATCATGAGCTTCGTAAATGAATAATCGATTTGGAGTAGGACAGAAAGGTGAAGAAGATGTCACTACGTATCCTGGGATTTTAAAATATAAATATCTGCCTTGTACTGGAGTTACTTCATCACCTCCAGGCTCAATTAGCCAAGGTCTGTGAACACAAGCAACTTCAGCTCTGACACTTTCTGAGATAACATGTCTGTCTCCAATAATTTCTGGTGCTATAGGCACTTGTCGTTTATCAAAGAGTCTGATTTCACCACTGCTTCCTCTTAGCCGTCTTTTCCCCCATCCTGAGGAACATACGGTTTCATCACCGGGTCCTGTTGGAACAAATTTATATTCGCCTTCAAAAGCAAAATCATCGTAGTCTTCTGTAATGTTCATCATTGTCACGGTAAAATTAACTTCTACTACCGGAGCTGTTAGCGTATGTATATTTAACGGTTCAGATCTATTTGTACAAATACAATCTCTTTCAATAGGAACTCCCTCCCAAGGATATTCTGTTATGATAATTTGAGCAAGTCCCTCTCCACCGAAAGTTCTTTTCATAGGCCTATCACATTTCCAACGACTAGTGCGCGGATCTTTGTGGGTATTACAATATTTATTTCCAAAATAAGTATTTGTAAAGGTCAACTGAATTCTTTCACCTTGTTTTGCTTCGAATCTGAAACAATATCATATTCCAATAACATTGCAAACTATAAAAATGCATTAAATTATAAAAATTTAAACATTTTTAAGATAATTCTCACCTGAGAATACAAGTAAGATTTTGGGCGCCACCTCTCCCATAGTAAAATATAGCACGAGGAGCTTGAAATCTGCCCGAATAAGTCTGAGCAGATTTAAAAACTCTGTCGCAGGCAGACTGTGAGTCTGCCAATGGCTGACCTTGTTCGCTCACGTCTACAAACTCGTAACGAAGAACAAATGATACTGGGTAAAGTGCTGATCCCTGTCGAAGTTCCTGTAACAAAATAATATTTGAGAATACAATATAACGATATTAAGAATATAAATAATATATTTTATCAAAATAATAAAATATATAACATACAGCTGAAATATATTCTTTACATTTAAATAATTTTGATGGAGACACCCATCCAACTAGGTCTAAACTTTATGTGTGAAACTTTAACTGGTCCCTTAATAGTAAAATATTAAACCCCTTTGAAACTAGTAGCCGATCATTTTAATTATTAATTTTCGATTTATTAACTTTTAACTTTAAAACTTATTTCTTCTTCAAAAGTATTGATGAGCTTGGTGACACACTAGTGTCACCAAGTTAGCTTCACCGTAGATTAGGGTGTGGGTGTGGTGTAGTAAAACTTCAAATATTTAGTTAGAAACTTGCTTTAGTCCTTCCTCTGTTGAATTTAATATTGAATAATGAAGCAGTTCTCAACTAGTGACTTTAACAACTTGTTTAAGACTAGATTTCCTATATTAACTAGAACGTATTCTGCTTGCTGCACAGCTGTGTAAAATGCTAATGGCACTGTAGAAGATTTTGTAATTATTCTGTATATGCATTCAACAGATTTAAAATGCATTTAAAACTATATTCAGTCTTATTACCCACACTTGTTTAAATGTTTCATTCATTCAGCTTTTACAAATTAATTGACACAGTTTGAATACGACACAGTTTTATAAATTAATTGAAATAGATACGAAATTTGAAGACTGTTATTTGCGAATGAAAATTGAAATCAGTATTCATAAATCCGAAATTTCAGTACTAGGCCCGGTTACTACATAATTCGTCATTCAATTCCCGCCAGTTGACCTTTGAAATTAAGTTACTGTTTGGAAAATTAATACATACACATATTTTGAATCATTTTGGTTGAACACTTTATGTACATAATTTATTTACCTTTAATAGGCATTTCTTTTATGACTGCTTATCATTACGGGTTATACGAGTCGAATTGCCTAAAACCACACGATTTACTGACACTAATGGATATAGGAAGGATTTTTTTTTGTATTTCTATAAAAAACTAACAAAATACAAATCTGATGAGACCCAATAAATCTGAGTTTCACAAACACGTTCGTACGTGCCCCATCGCGACATTTATACTACTTGCAATAACGGGACAACACTGAAGCATTCCATCGCTCTAAAAGTAGTGAACTAGCACGTATCCCTTGCATTATTCACCATAGCAAATGCAACGAACGCTGAGCGCGTGACTTATCTATCCTAGCTGCTATGAATGTATCACACACCAGAAAAGTTATAGCAAACAGTGGGAATACAACTGAAAGGGCAGTGGCGTGGGCGAAAAGAAACAATAGATAGTCACTGGCATAATCCCGCGTGAATTGCTGCTTTGAATGTCAAAGTACAGGATCAATACTAAAATGGATCCCCGTGTTTTGTATACACGACTTTAGCTGTTTTTATGGTTGTCGCTATATTTTTAGGTGTATCACCACTTTTATTTTTGAATAAATCTTTATTTTATTTTGATTTAAGCGCATTAATTGCAGCAATTGCACTCCTGTATCCTATATAGCCATAAAATTCTAGATTACTATATTATTTGTAAAAATACTGCTCAGCAAATACTTCGATATTTTCTACTAAGACTAAGTCGACAACGAAATTTCATTACAATATGCAATAAATTTGTTAGAATCCATGCAATTTACTACACAGATATATTAAATCTAACGTCTTATTTACATCCTATAATAGATTGTGATTATATTTCTCAACAGAGGAGGTAGCGTTACACTCAAGGGAGACACCTGACTAATTCAAATGATAATGGTAGGTTACTAAACAATGATAATAGTAAGATAGTCAAGAAATGAATCTATCGAATATTTCAGTTCTAGTTTACAAGTTTCAATATTGAATTTTATAACTGTTGAGAAATATCTTCATACCTCGATGTAAAATACCTCGGCCCTTCTCCATCACTAACCGTAAAGTTAGTCATTAATTTACATGACATGCACATAAGAAAACTTACCCTACTGACCAAAGAAAGAGGCTTTTATTATTATCGCATATCTGATGATATTATGATTTACAAGTGGTATAACAATAGTATGCAGTCAGTATGCTCTAATGCCGTTGCTGTTGATTTTGTCTACAAAAGTGAACGCCATTCTTAGAAACTAAAAAATAAACTATCTATTCACAATACAATAAAAACATGGGTGGAGCAGATTTATTAGATCAGAATATATCGTCGTCCGATGTCAATATTCCCTCCTCGACCGATTTTGGCCGCAGCGACCTCTTCAACTCCGTTTAAATTGTCATTGGTGTGCTCGTGTGTGGCCAATATAGCCGATCTTATTGATAAATGTACCCGAACAATGCGGGCAGGTGAGCACACCATTGCAGTAGTTGTAAATGACAGCAAAAGACATAATGAAGGGAAAATTGACTTGCTAATCTTACGACTTCGTATTGCAAATTTTATAATCGATAGTAATAAACAGCGCGAAAAACCAGCTCTTAATCCGCCACCTTCAATAAGATCAGACTCTCGATGCGACGGCAAAGACCACTATATCACCAAACAGGAAAAGAAGACCAGACCTATACTAAAAACAATGTCCTACAAGATGTGTCAAGTGCAACATCGGTGTCCACGTGCAATGTTTTGTTATGTATCACACCAAAACGTAAATAAAATTTAATTAGTAACATAATGTGTTTTTCCATACATATAGTCCTACTGTACCAAATGTGGTACGCCCCGTCAGTCTCACCTATTATAATTATCTTTTTAAGGGCAAAATTATTATAGGTCTAAGTAGGTTAATATTTTTCCTATTTGTAATCCTATTTTCAAGGTTTATTTTCTCCAATTTATTTCTTTTGTAGATTTTTTTTTAAACTCATCATTTTACACTACATCAAGTTGTAAGATATTTTTGACATTTTAGAAGGACTGCTACTACGAGTAAATTCATAGCTAGGTCAGATTCCGAAGCGATATTCGCGGTATACGTCGGCTAAAAATTTCACGCTAGCAGTCACATCTCTCTTTGCACGTGAGTATGCTGAAATGGGAAGATAAATATTTGCAGCAGTAATTATGTGAGCTTTGGCAGTTAGTTGTTTGCAGTCTGTTTGCGCCATTAATTACGCTACTTAATTCTTTTGAATTAGAGCTTTACATGTTAAAGCGTGATTAGAATTACAATTATGGAGCTACAAATGTTTTGGTATAAACAGATCTTATTTTCTATGCTTACGATTTTTAAGTTCGATTTGATATTTCAAATTAAATCTCATGAGATAGATTTCGTGTTCAATCGTAATAAAAACAATGAAGTTGATTAACACATGAGTTAACAGAAACATATGTTTGGATTATGCAAGCAAGTTGTACCCTTTATTTACTTATGCTGTAAGTAAATAAAAGTGTCAAGTTGTTTTGAGTCTATCATCTTAGTGCTTATCAACTTTTCATAATATATAATTATATTATATTACATTTCCATCAATTGACGTTTTGATTAGGTTGCACCGTCCGAGATTTCACTCTGACTGGGCGTGGTCAAAGCAAGCCTGTGTTACCAAATGGTTTGTTCTATTGTTTGTTATTTAATCTAGTAATAAATTAAGTATTAATTTATTAACCTAAGCTTAGTATTAAATATATAACACATTAATAAAGTTTCTTTTGATAGGTGTCTTAATTGCTTATATAATGTTCGGTACAGGTCCGAATCACGATTAATATTTAGACGTTGAAGGTTTAGGCTTCATATAACTAGCTACGTTATGAAATGTACTGTGAATAGAATAATTTAAAATAAGTAAGTAAATTTATAACACTTTATTTTAAAATATATTTTGCATCGTAGACTATGTTAAGTCGAAATTGAGGTATCTGCAACATTTAATTATTTTTTTCATTAATATTTACATTAAAATATTTTGAATTCTATAGCAAATGCTTTAAATTAAAAACTTGAACTTCGTTTTGTGACATGTAAGTTATATAAATTGCATGGTATGTAATAAATTGCCAGAAAAAAGTTATATTTTTCACTTACTTGTAAAATAGTGAGTGCGTTTCCAGTGGTGATATAGCTTTCAGAGGGTGCACATGGCCGCGTAGCTCTTGTTGCGTTGGACAGAAGAGCGTGGTCGCAGAGCCTTGGCGATTCTTCCCGGCAAAACAATCCAAGTCGTGACTTTTTATCGCTCATGTCCAACTGTAGGAAAAAAACAACAAATTTGTATTCTTTTATAAACATACTATTTTATAAAAACTAAATTTTTCTTAAAGTAAATTTATCAATTAATCAATCTAAAGAGATTTTACGTATGTTGGGTTCGACTTCCGCTCACTGAAGTTGATTTTTACAGAAATAACATATTAAACTAAATATATTGTATATTATACATATTTATATGTACATCATATTTATTAAAGACAGGTGTAATATGTATGTTTGTATGTATTTATAAGATAAAGAAAAGTGAGAAATATATGTAGGTTTGTTTATGTGTTGACACCTACGTGTTTTTATCACTTTTTTTTATAAACTTTTATAAAATTAGACAACTCCCGCACTAGGAGTATATCAGGTGTCGCGGGGGATTTTACAAACATACATGCAACAGACACAAAGAACACCCAGACTCGGAGCGACAATTTGTGGATCACACAAAGTATCGTCCCACGTGGGGATCGAACCTAGAACACTCAGTGTAGTAGAAAGCGGCGTGGTGCGTGGTGGTGCAGTCGTTCTCATTACGCCATAAAATCAGTTATTATTTCCAATAGACTCCACTTTAAGTGTCCGGTCCCCTTTAAGAATAAAATTTACGCACACAAAATTTATTTTAATTAAAATAAAACTAAAAAGCTCTATAATAAATTATTTATTCAACTCGGCAATACTATTTCCATAGTGTATCTGGGAGCGAACGGAAAACTTTTCTGATTAAAGTGCCAACAAAAAATAACTTGCACCGGAACCGCTTATCCATTCTTAATGCAAACTGAAGAATCTCGGATGAATGAAACGAAACACCGCACTGCAGTTGGTGAAACTCGGTAAAAGTGCTCAGACACATTAAAGAAAATTAATGTTTGGCTGCCGACGTCAAGTAGGGAGGTAGGTAGTTGGCAAAGTGAAATGGCACGGATAAAGGCGGTGCGAATACAGCCCAATTCTATTTTGTTTCGTCCTTGTATCACAACATAAGTCTTGCACACTGCGAAACTTTTACTTCGTACATGCTAAACTTAATCCACATTTCATCACAATACACGTTGGGTTACGAGTTTTAAACATTTAAATTCATGTTCTATAAAATTTTATATCTATGACCCGGTATAGTGATTCGGTTGCGATAACAATTTGAATATTTTATTTTTATTGAATGAACGCCAAGAATTGTTTTCGATAAGTAAGGAAGTTAGATAATAACAGTTTTAAAGGAGGAGGTATTCTACATGGAATGTATTACACAAATGGTAGTTAGACAGTTCTTCCCCACTAAGTAAAAGAGCTGTCCAACGGCCCGATGGGTTGTATCGGATTATGGAAACTTAAAAAGGAGATTTATTTTTAACCTGTTTTCTGGAATAATTTGGTAATATCTAGTACGATTTTAAATTAAATACATTTCAAAATCACTACATTCGAAGTTTAAAATTGAAAAATACTGCAATAAATTAAAAATTCTATTTTAATGTAACAATTCAGTAAATACACTTGTAGATTTAATTTATTTTTTACTTTGTAATCTACAATTGTTCACACATTTCACATTTGATTTTGTTATGAAGTTAAAAGTTAAATAATAAGTGTAATAATTCCTTATTGGTTTCTTTTATGTTGAAAAATTTGGTAAATGTAAACACATACAATGAAATTAGGAAAAGTTTCGGTATAAAATTTTTGTTCATTGGAAATACAATTTAATATAGAATAAAGGTAATAAAAAATAAATGCAAACGAGATAAAATTAGGTAATACAATTGGTATGAAAATAAAATTTCTAATAGAAATAACATAAAATATATTATATATTACAAATAAGTTTTCAAGGACCACTCGTACTGTCTTTTGTAGGTTATACTCTTTGTATTTTGCCGTGGTTATACTATAATTTATTTAGAAAAGAGAATTTATAAGAAAAAAAATCATAAAAGTTTTAAATTCAAATTTCCCACCCACATAAAAAAATACTTATCATTTTATCTTAAAAATAGATACAAATTAAAGATAACTATAGGCCTATGTCGTTTGCCTACGAATGATATGAAGTTTCAAGTATTTTGAAAGAACGAGTCAGCCATTTAAATTTTTAATGTTTAAAGAGACCCCAACCCATATGTATGGCCAAGTACAGGGGCGAAACTGTGTGTCTGTCTACCAATTTAATTGTACTCGTATAGACAAGTAATGAAATCTGCTGTCTGTCTGTTTTGTTTAAATTTTCGTTAATAATGTGCTCCGATTGAAAAAAAGTGTTATTTTTTCAAGCTAACTGGTAACTATTTTTTTTGTGACAGTAAACTAATTTTTCAGTCTAGTATCCACAGTAATCTGATCTTTATCTTAAAGTATTTTTCATCTAAATGTTGTTTGTAAGAGAATGAAAAACTAATAGCGATGTATATAGGATCATCATCATCATTATCAACAGTCTTTCATAGTCAACTGCTGGACATAAGCCTCTCTTTAGAAAGGAGGTTTTGACCTACGATACCACGCTGGCCATAAACCATTTATTAGTTATGTCATTTATCAGCAATAACAACAATAACTTGACAAATATCAAACACGGCAGTCTGATCCCAACCTAAGCAGAGTCTGTACCTTTTTTTTTTGACCTGACCTGACCTGACCGCGAAAAAAAAACAATAGATAACTTTGTACCCAGACACGATATAAACAAAGGTACTAGGTACACAACTATTTGCCCTGTGAGGTAATCAATTCCACAACCACCACTAGACCAACCAGTCAAATTAAAGTGTATGTAGGTATATCTATTAATAATAATATCCGAAGTCATAGAACACTCACAGGTCTCTATAGAATAATCTAAGTCTCTGCAGAAAGTTTAGTGATTAACGTGATTTATATTAACTTATATATTTTTCGCAAGTAACAAAATATAATTGAGATCATTATTTATTCCAACATTTGTATATAATTTATGAAACATGGCGTAAAATATGAGCAATGTTCCTGTGCTGTAATACTATCTCTAGATAACAAGATATTATAAATTACCGTCATTTCTTAGCTCAGCTGTAACGACTATAACCTGCAATTATTGTTCAAAATGTTATGTTTGGCCTTGTCTCGATTGTATATCTAATCCCGAAACGCTAATTAACAAGATAAATATTCTCCTCATTACGGTAAAGGCCCGAATTGCTTCCATAGGCAAAAATATCTTGGAAAATGTTTATACTAACTGACATTAAATAAATATCCCTACGGATAATGAAGGTAAAAACATTAAATAATTTACACATTGAATATATCTACATACTTTATTCGGGCGTGTAATAGAATTATGTGTTTTATATTGAAGAGGGTAATGATAGGCTTCAGAATGTACTTTAGCAAGATATTGATTATGTGTGTCACTTAAATCGTTACATACTAAAGATATAAGATATGATATGTATGATAGTTCGAAAATGTATTGTGAAAAAAAAAATTGACACAGCATCGTATTGAGTAGAGTGACTAGGGTCGCCTCTATTGAGATCTCTTTCTGTACTACATAAGGTGAGTCCTGCACTAAAGTATCGTATCAGATGGAATTTGAACAAATATCGTTCTATAAAACATAATGTAGGTTAGAAATAACCCTATCAATATTATACGGCTAAAGCGCTGAAACTTTGATACCTGGGGTACTATTTACCGTGATAAACAACATACACGCGGGCGGAACTGCGGGCAAAAGCAAGTTATAAATTAGAAAAGTATTATACAAATTATAGTTTTATTTTGGTAATAATATAAAAATGTGTATGGTCAGCTCTATTTTCCAAATAATAGCGTTGGATTGTCAGGAGATTAGAACAATCCTGCTTAATCTATCTGATGGTGTATATGGATATATGGACTGCAGTTATCAATCTCATTCTTTCTATTTTATCCTTTTCTAGTATAAGTAATTTCCTGACTGAAAAGCAATCTCGTGATGGTAGATGATTTTTTTATAACCGTAATAAATGAGACAATGGTAAAAAAACAATTAGTAAGTAGAGGTTCTTATCTAATCACTTCACTTTTAATTTTATATAGAAAATTAAGGAATTTATAAAAAAGTAGACATCGCTGTTTTTAGGAAGTTAATAAATATTTTGAGATTTTTCAATGTCATAGTGAGGTTCATTTTACAATCTATTCCATCTTTCCCATGTAAATCGGAGTTGAGATTATAGATGAAGGACATTCCTTGATTAGTGTAACGGATATTAAAATATTTAGAAACAGACAGACTTCGACTGTGTTTTGTAGGGATAATGTAAAATGTTTTGTTAGTAGTCATAGTACAGAAAACTATGTTAGCCTTCATAAAACCTTATAAACACTTAATTTCTTAAAAAGTCCCTGCTTAAAAGTTTGCTTTGCTGAAAATAGTATTGAGAATTCTTTAATCTGATTGTATAAAACTGGTTATATGAATAGAAAAATAAACAAAGTCCGTAGGATGAGTTATTTGTACCTTTAAAGAGAAATAATAATGTACCTTTCTGTCTAGATCTGCGTCTGGTGCAGCACCGTCCCATATCGTTAATTGTGACGAACAATCCTTCTGTTGGTCGAAGCCAGCAGGTTCCGTTCCTGCTGAGTGGTACTTCACGAACGACACCCAAACTATTTCATTCGCCCGGCCCTGAAAGAGAATAGTGAATGTAACGACCAGAAAATGTTTCATTGAAAATGAGTAAAAATATACTCATACCATCTCCTTGAGGAACCGAAACTTTTATTTTACAAGAATACCTCCTCGCACGTGTTGTTCAAAGATAATAAACAGATAAAAACAATTGTAAATAAAATGTGTGCAGCTAGTTCTTTTTTATTAATCTCAATTTTTTAAGTACGTACGTAGTATAGGTATATTTTTTACTTTAATAACAAATATACGCGTAAAGGTTTCACAGGTATTTATTAGGACTTTGACAAAAAAAGGTTTTGGTAAAAGAAGATAGTTCAAGTGTCTGCGGTGTGTAAATGTTTTGGTGAAAAAAAAAAAACAGCATAGAAACTGTTAGATTTTGATTGATTGTTATTGAAATGTATGAAATAAGCATCTAAATTGACAAAAGAAATTAAAACGTAAATATGTAGTTCATATAGACCACTAGCTAACCATGAGTGTGATCTGGCCGAGTATCTATTGAGACCTGATTAATATCTGCTCATCAGTGTTTTCAATATAAATTTTCATTAACAGGGTTGTTGAATTGCTAAAAACTAAGCATATAGAAGCACAGAAAATATTGAAGCTGTACGTAAATTAACCATTTGTATAAAAACTTGTACAAGCAAAATATTCGTGTACCTGGAAATAGTATACACACGATGTATTAGGGGGTAGTGAATGTCTCGGATTTCTTAATACTCCACTAGTTTTGTCCGAAGAGCGCAGTACAAAACGACAGCGTCCATCGGAGCGCACGTACGAATGCGAATCTTTGTCCACGTACAGAACCTGCAACAAAATAAATGTATGTACCTAATCGTTTCGAGAATAGATTTTCGTGTATAATTCAAGACATCAATGTTCAACACTAGGTACAGAATACATAGGCATAAAACAAAACCTTTTTTCTAAAGAGGTTTCGGTCTATGCCTATGTCCAGAAGTGGATTGTTAAAGGCTGATGATGATAATGATTTAGAGTATAATTTTTCAAAGGCTTTTCCAAAGTTTTTAGGTTTTAAATTATTAAAAATGAAGTCAATTTAATAATTTAATACAATTCTACTTAACTTCAAAATGTTAAAAATATTGCTGGTACATGTCAGAGTATTTGCATTGACGCATAATGCTTACAATCCGAAAATCTCACCTGTACTTCAAGCTCGAATCCTGGCAGGTAGCTCAACGGTACCGGGTGAAAAGGATTGTCGTACGGCGACGTATGAAACTCTAGTAACATATTGGGACCTCGACTGACAATATCAGGTACAGCATCTCCTCCACAAAGGCGTACCAATACGGGCGAATCGCGGGTGGGGCCGTCCCACACTGTGAGATAATCTTGAACAACATTGCACTGGTCCCAAATTCTGTGAAACATTGATGGATTACTTTTGTTTACTTTGACAAGTTTCTACAACGATAATTAAAGGGGATCTCTCTTCAAAATATACACAAAATATAGAAAGTGATAAAAATCATCTGGCCATAGTAATTAAGTAAATATTCTGCCTAAATAAATTATAAGTCAATTTCGGCTTACGCTCACTGATCTTAAATTGATAGCGAAGCGAAAATTCAAATTCAGAATATTTGCTCATAATTAAGCACCGACTAATCTCTGAGTAAATCATTGTATCAATTTACTGAGGTTATTAGCGATATAATTGATTAACAAAAACATGTGAAATCTATTTTAATTGAAAAGTTATGTTTAGGATGTGACCCATAACATTACAAAGGTATTACTAGGAGTTTTTATTTTAATTCTTTATTAAAATTTGACTATTAATTGAATTTTGAAATAAACATAATTCTATTTTTAATTAAATCTTTACTTTACCCTGACTTTAGTTCTAATACCTAAAAGTCTTACCGTAATGATATAGATTTTGTCAAATTGGCTAACAAATATAGGCCTTATCGACCGCGCGTCAGCAGATTATTAATCAGAACAATTATTCTTTAAATTAATACTGATAAATTCATTTGCCTTTATACAATAAATCAGTGAATGACGTCATGAATAAGTTTATTAACTGGCTTTACTGCATCAGCTTATTCATTGACTTTACAACAAACATTATTTCGATGGTTGTTTTACACAATTGTTGTTGTTGTGTATTAGATGATTTGTAAACCAATAAATATTCAAGAATATATTTCGGACTACAGAAATATTTCTTAAAATAATAACATTCCATTAAAAATATTAGATTACACTGTATTAAAGAAACTTAAATGAAGGGTACTTACTTCAAAACACGTTGGCTTCTATCGTATTTCACTATTTGGTCTTTGATATGTATTTTATGACTATTAGTCTGTCGCACTACTAGTAAAACATGTTTATCAGCTGGTACCTGCCAATAAAATAGTCAGTACAGCAAACCCTTCTTTATGTGAAGAAAAATAAGGTTTATTCTTATTTAAAAAGGTATATGGTTAACCCTTACTCATTCGGCATTTATTATGTACATTTCAGGTGTAAGAGTTAGGCTGTTTGGTGTAAATTTTATATTAAATATTAACACAAACAACCACACAAAGCCCACATAGAACCACTCTTACTCACGATTTATATTCTAAACAGAATCATGAACAACGACCTCTGTAATTGCTTTGTCCCCATATTTTATCTTTTGTATTGTCACACTTTTCATTTTAATGCGTAATGTTGGTTTTAGTACATAGTTAATATACCGAAAATAATTTACCACTTTAGTGTGGTTAAAATATTTTACATGTACTGTTAAATGGTTTCATTGGAAAATGTCTTAACACTGATGTTTAATGCCAATTCCTATAATGGAATGAGAGCTTGATTGAAAGACTTATAGATACATTTATTTCCATAACTGTTTCTGTTTGCACCTGTTATTACCTAATACAATAGATAGGAAAATAATGTACAAAACAATTAATATATAACAAAAAATATATCGACTTTTTTCGAACAATTAGCTAAACTGTATTAATAAAAATCGTATTTTTTAGTTATTGTAAATCTAGGATATGTAAATACTTGCCTGGGTGTAATAAATAAATTAAATAAAAGATGAAAAAAGATTATACACGTAAGGTAAATAAACAAAACCTTCTAGTTTCCTAAACCTGCACTACTTTAAGATATAAATGATTTAACTTTGAAAATACATACTCGTACAACCATTCTGGAAAGGCTTAAATTATAACTATTCTAAATAAAAACTCATTAAAGTCCATATTTCCTTCAATACGGTAAATGCCAAACACCTTCATAAAATTAAGTATAACAAAATATTCGTTTACATCTATACCGATAAGTCGCACACAATTCAATTTGCATTTTCCACGGCTTACCTTAGTATGTTCAATACGGTATGTACAGGTCGCGTTGCGTGGATATACACCCGGAAAATTGGGCGACTGTATGCGACAGGCTCGAAGGTCACAATCGCTCAGTATTCTGTCGCAATATGTCCCTTGTACCCGTTCACCCCGCCAGGCGCCTACTGTCGCGTTTCCGTAGCGCAATCGGGCTTCGCTTCGGCGAAGAAACTTATAAGCCAACTTGAAATCGAAATTATAGCCCACGCCCTGTGTGAAAAATATAAAATTAAATTTTTTACAACAGAATCTGGGGAGCATAAGCGATGAACGTGGTAAACGTTTCCATGAAGGTATAAAGATTTACCAAGGTTTTCGGGCAAACGATTATAATATTTAATATTTTTCATTAGGTATATAATTAAATTTTTATAAAAAAATAATTGTTCTTGTTCCCTAGAGTCGATAATTAGAGTAAAGTTTAGAATTGTGCTAGATATTTCTCTCTGCTGTAATATCTTTACTAAATTGAAATATCTTAGCAACTAATTAAAAATGACACGAGAACCAAGTTATTGAAAATATAATATAAATAGGTATCTAGAGAGAGAATTTTAAATACAAATTAATTTCCAATTAATGAAAAAGCGTTATTAATTAATTAGAGGATCAAAATTACATTCAAAAGATTCTTTTGAAAGAGCAATTATTATTAAAAGAGAAAGTGGATCGCATTAACAAAATGTAGGGAGCTATCCAAAATGTATTAAATGGCAAAACGAAATTCCCATTATTAAATTAAGGAATTAAGGCCCAATAACATTATTGTAATCGCGAGGTATCCTTATCCTATGGTCCCGAGGGTGTCCGTAATCGTCGCCTAATTAATTGATCGAAACTTCAACCCTTGGTGCACATAATACGGCTGCTGGCACAAGATAAAGGAAAGGCAGCGAACCGTTAAAAGCGGGGTGATGTGAAATATTAGTCGAGTCACAGGCGAAAACATGTAGTTAGTTACATCACGTCACTAAAACACAAAGGGATGCTTAGTAAGTGAGTCTTAATGAAGATAAATACTGTTGTTCATTTATAAGGATTAACTTTGGTGAGAGCAAAAAGTCTAATTAAACGCGCCCCATCTGTTGTGTTTACAAATTATACATATGTTAAACCATACAGGTCTATGTTATGTATGTTGAAGAGAAAAATTTCTCGTAATTATCTGATTGGTGACGTATTTCTTTGTAATTGAAAGGTATCATTAAGCTGGGTTTGTAGTCTGATTTTCTAAATTCGGTTTTGAGACATATGGGTTTAGGTAATTAAATATTTTTTTCATTAAAGTCAAAGAGAAACATTTTAGGTCACTTAGTTGACAGATATCATGTGTAATTTTAACATGGTTGACAGGGAACGCAAACATAATCACACCGTCAGGCGTAGTCGCTAGTGTACGCAAGAGCGCACGCTGCCATGGGATCCTTTTTATAGGACATATCCAGCTGACACATGTAGTAGCATTGCCATTAGAGTTTAACGCAAACAAGCGTAAAATACGTTTAACCTCCCTGACATATCAAGTCGTACCGTACATTATTTAAATGACTGAGACAGTCACATTTCTTATTGCTTGACGTTTTAAAAACCTTACGAAATATTGTAAGTCTAGGGATATTATTAGTGGTTCTGTTGTGACAGGCTTCAGTAAAAGTTTTGACAAGTAATTATTTCGAAAATTAAGATTTATATTCTGATTCCAAAGTAATTATTTTAGTAAAGTTAATGCTACTTCGGCTACAAATTAACAAAATCAAAATCGTAATCGTATCGGTAGGCAGATTAAATATTTGTTTTTGTAGTATATAACCCCCAAGGATCAGCACCTGAACGAGATTAACAATAAACATGGTATCGGTCTCGAACCAACTTAAGCCACACGGTCTTCTGTCGCTGAGCTCTAATAACGGGGACGCAGGTGTACCATATTCCATTCCGGTGGCCAAGTGTCTTGAAGGGCAAGGCCATCCAGCCCGGGCTTGCTTCTACTAGAGTGACGGGTAGAGTAAACTCTAGCCATCGCGCTAATAATACCATCCAGTTATCATTTGGAATGAAATACCCATCGAATTATCTAAACATTTACTAAATTTGCACATACAATAATTTGTGTGTACAAATTTCTAGCACTTTCCAACAATTTCTGAATCACTTCAAAATATTTAAAGTGGTTCAGAAAAAGTTAGATGGGCAATGGTAGTCTTCATCATCCCTTGCCTTATACGTCTTTTCCACATTGTAATAACTTGCACGACACAAAAATGTCAGACATAAAATTTACAAACCTGTTGACTTAGTCTGTCTAGTCTTAATGTCATGTTTATTGAATCTGATTCGCTGAAGTACACTGTGTAGCCCCATGCAGAGCCACACCATTGTCCCGTTGGTGGCGACGGACTTCGCTCTACGATCGTCATGTGTCCGTCTGGACACCCATCAGAGGTGAATGACACAAACTTACCAACGGTGAATGTGTCAAAGGTTAACTGAAACAATGAGGAACGCTTAGATAATGTATTTTACATAATACCTCTTTTTAAATATGTTACTAGCTTTTATCTTGCATCGCTTTGCTGTGGCGCATTATGGTTGAAAAAAAAAGAGATAGGTAAAAACCATATTTGAAGCGTGTTTTATCGTGTGTATATCGTATCAAAATTTGAGATCTTAACATTTATATATACATATAGATAATATGAATTGAAATATTAGAATTGCTTCACTCTCATAATTATAGCAAATAAGAAAACACACTACGGCATACAAAATACCTTGAATTCTGTCTGAACTTCAATGATATTCCAATTGTAAGTAACGTCAAATGTAATAACAGAATGGTCTTGGGACTTTTTCAGATCATTTGCCGTTTTTTCTTTTTCCTTACCAAACTTCGTTTTTAAAAATAATCACCTATACATCATGAATGGCGTAATATTTTTAAGCCACAATCAATTTACAAAGCATAAAATATAGGTAAGTTTCTAATCGAATTAAATGATATTTTTTCTGTGGTACATAACTATAAATTATCATTAGTTTTAATTTCGTTCATTTGTGGTTCTACTGGCTACTGACATTATGTCTTATGTCAATTGGAACTACTTTTAAGGTTTTGATTTACTCGTGAAATATTGAAATCTATGGCCGTAACTTTTCATTGCGTTACCTTAGAAACTTGTTTTTTTTAAATATAATTTTAAGGTACTTCAGACATATTTAGTAATAATTTCAACTTAAGATGACATGACACAAATGAACAGATGGATAGGAAACTGAACCTTTAGCAGAGTCTACGGTAGTTAATGTTTAGAGGACAGCAACACTTGAAACTGCTTAATATATTTATACTCAACATGACAACCTACACATTTCTTCCTTATTAACAGTACTTCTATTAATTGCAACATTAGTCATTGTGAGGTAACAAATTCACATGTTATCAAAATTTATGAACGATTCTTATAGTTATATGTATATTCTAAATTTCCCGATGATATGCAGTACCTTAAACAACTTAAGAAATATTTGTTTGCAATTTTGAAATGGAGCGTAGTATTCTCAATATTATGCCAAAATGTAAAACAGTTGGCAGATATTTTAGTACGTTATAGATATTTATGACATAAAGAAAACATATTAAACTTTTTAGCCATTAAAACAGTTATTGCCCGTGTAAATTTAAATGTTGGCACATATATTTATCTAACAAAGCCCTGGTTAAACACCATTTATGCTTCAACACAAAATCTTACTTCAGATTACAATTACATAGTTAATTCGGTCAGATTCATTTGACACGGGTTTAGTTATAATAAGAATCACGTAGCATCTAAATACCTGTATAATGTCTCCGTAGTTTCCTCCCGTGGCTGTGAAGTTGAGGTGACAGAGGAAAGGGAGGTGGTCCTCGCGTGGCCGTCGCACTTCTAATTCGTATGTACGACCGACGTCCCCCATGTAAGTCCTGTTGCATGCTATGAAAGGAAAAGGACATTATTAGTTTATTTATATTATCTTGCATGAGTTGTTTTATACAAAATAACTTGTGTACTGTATGAATACACTAGGTTGAGCTTATTGCAGAAATAACATTCTTAGTTTCTTGATTTAGTTTAACAGATGCTACATAGCATTGACTTTTCAATATAGCACCATACGTTAAATACAAACAACCTTTTTAAAAATATGAAAATTGTGAGTCTCTTAAGAAGTCTGAATCACAATGAGACTTATATTAAATCGGGCTTTATACTATCTGTCATGGTAAGTAGGTAACCTAAACCGAGAAAATTTCGACCTCAAATATCCCTGTAGTATACAAAATTTGTAAGAAAGACAGGTAATTATCCTTTTAAATTGAAAAGAATATTTATTAATATGTTTTAAGTGTCTGTCTTTAAAAATATTCCATAGAATACGGAATGTTAAATATATACTAGACCAGGAAAAGGAAGGATTTCTAAAGAAAAATAAAAGCAAACCGAGACATTTTGACAGATTTTGGTTCCTCTCGGTACATCATGTCAATATAACTAAAATGCAACAGCTGAGACCATGCCATTATTTTGTAATTTGCTGTTAAAGTTGCAAAAACGTATATTATAAATTTTCTTTGACTTTTTACAAAGAAACGGATTATTTGGAAGTTGTAGATTTTAAAAATATCTACAAAATGAGACTTGGTGCGTTCCAATTGGTTCTTTTTTTTATTACAATATGCAAAAAAAATGCTAAAAATCGTCGTGACTGTGTTAATAAAAGTAACTCATTTATATTCTTAATTGCAGTTGAATGACTTCAAATAAAAATATGAACGAGTTATATTGGTAGTCTTAAATATTTATTTTACTCAGATAACGATAAACTAGGCTATCAAAATTTAATAGCCTTGTTATTGCCAAGCGCCTTTGAATCAGTTTCTAGTTCGTCTGGATGCCACTGAGTGCTCTTGTCTCCATTGTAACAAACTTCTGCCATTAAAATAACGTGCACGTTTGCTAACAACTGTTAAGATCGTGTGTTTTTTAGGCTTTCGTTACTTGAGAGGAAAAACGAAATACGTGATAATGTTTGTTCTAGCGTGTAACTCGTGTCGTCACATTAACTTTATTTAATAAATATGTATTAATTTTATTTATAGGTACCTATAGGGTAGGTAAAAATACATATCACATTTTAGTATAATAAACAATACTAGAAGGACATAGCGAAAGTTGAATATTCTTTATATTCAACTCTATATAGGACTCTTATTAAAAGCATTGAATATTCGTTCACTTGCTCGGGTTTTAAATATTGTTCGATAAAACAATAGCTAGTGGTACTTTACGGTTAGTGAATAAGATGTAACTTTGCACCTTTTAAACACTTTTACAATCACAGCAATTTTAGTTTCAAAATTTCCCACAAACCCAGATTTGCTGGATTCTCATTCTTTTACTGAAACTGATCATATATTTTACTTTATAATTTCTTTTCAGAGTACCTACTAATTTTGACATTTTTAAAGTGTAGTTGAAAAGGAGGTATAATGGGTTTATAGTATAAATCCAGAGCCTGGTCATACCTCCAAGACAAAACAAACACTGTTGTAAGTGCACAATGTTGTATTTCTACTAATAAAATATCCACAATGAATACATTATATTATAATAATCGAAACCCACTGCGAATACTAATTTACAGACCTAAAAGGCCAGTGATATGTATGTATACATTATGTCAGGTATGTAGGCGTTATATTTGACACGAAATAACAAACATTTACTTAATCCAAAGTGTGTCACGTAATTGCTATGCATACCGTGATGCCGGTAAGTCGCTACTCATAGTTTCTGACACAAAATGTTGTAATGACTAGCTTCACTAGTCATATCTGTGATTGATAATGGATTATTTCTATTATTAGTCATATAAAAAATACTCAGTTCTATTACTAAAGTATAATGTAGACACGGAATGCCTAATGATAAGGGATTTCAATAATATATGGACGTCTGCCAGAGTTATCACTATAATATTCTCTATACTTATGCAGTCAAAATATTTTATGGGAAGTTTGAAACATATTATAGTATTTTTTGAGCTTTAGTAAAATACGACTATGCATCCTATATGCATAGTCGTATTTAACTAAAGCATAAACGCTTGAATTAGTATCCTTCACAAATCCTGGAAATAGAACAGTGAAATGAATATAACAACAATGATTTTTAAGTCAAAACTCGTAGTAACGATGCTGTGTATCAAAAAGACTAACCAACAAATACACTTTGCCATGTAATATATAAGTAAGAAGTACATAAACGAGAACATAATGTGTCCTAAATTTATGCAAGTCATTATAAATACAGACCGGTCCGTACCTGTACTATTGTTAATCCTTTCAGCACAAAAATAGGGAAATGAGAAGGAAAAAGATCGTGAATAAGCGCGGCTCACAATAGACTGCGGCCATATTTTTACGATCTTTTTCGAAAAATGCCTTTTGTTCGCTCTGACAGCGCATTACACAGCATAAGACAAGTGTTCTGTTCCCCTAAACATTATTGTTTTCGTTAACGTGCTCTTTGTTTTATGTAAACCATCAAAATCAGGTTACCTTTTAATTATATAAAATGATACCACTGAATTTAGTTACGGCTATCCCTCTAAAACTATATTCGTAACTTTTAGTTGTTCTACTTCAAAGAGAAAACTGAGCCGTCAACGTTTTCGTCATGACGTCGTTGTATTTTAGTTCGCATTCGCTAATTAGTCAACTTTTGTTAAGTCAACAAATTTATTATGTGAAAATCTAGAAATTAGCTTGTAAACTTTCGTCCTGTTGAACTTGGCTCAGTCACTAAAAGAATTAGTTATAACATTTTCAATGTAATATAGACATTTTATTAGACGTCAGGTTCAATTAGAACTAAATTAATGATTATACAATGCGAAAAGAATTCCCACGATAGTAGCTTAGCCCTATCCCTTAAGAAATTTTAAGTGATTTCTCTAATATTTAAGTTGCAGCCATTACATACTAAAAGCACATATATGTTAAATACCACGAATAAAAGGCTACATAGTTCAAAAACTACTCTTATATGAAGGAATGTTTCTCCAAAAGAAGGAGAGAACGATACGAACAAAAGTGTTTGCATAGCGAACATAATTGAGACATTTTAGTGAGGACGTCATTAGTTCTTAGTAAAGTTAGTCCTGAATGTGAACGAAATTGTTCTTCCAAACTTACTCGAGAATAGGCATGCTTGCGAGTCTGATTGCCGAATGTGAGATAAAGATGGAACGCAAATTGCGGTAGTAAGATATAATTGATATGTTGTGCAGTGAAATCTTCGGTATTTTACTCGAATAATACATGTCAAAAGTTAGTAGAAGTTATATAGTGACGTGCGATTGATGTATTTATCGAGTTTTAATTACCACCACCAATGAGTTGGCTATAGGACATTTGAGTTAAAATAAGTGCAATGGACCCCGAGTTGGATCAATAATGTCCAACGTTTTAATTACGTTCTTGATAGCTGGCGTACTAGATGCTAGCAACAATAAAAATGTAAAGTAGTAATTGAGTTTGAACTAATTAACCTTTCGGTCAATTTTTGCGATGACAGACATTTTTCCAGCCCTACACAATGCACCATCTGATTGGTGTAATAAATAGTGGATCGTTTTATTTTCTGTAATATTTTAGATTATTATTTTATTAATTTAAAACACAACTGACTAGTTACAGTTTGTTTGATATCTAAACTAACTATCGACTGAGGTCACCTTTGGAATCCGGTTTTATAGAAAGCAACTACGAGTAGTATGCTTCATTGTCATGTAATCTTAAATTATGTAATCAAGAGCATTCAGTTCTTTACTAAGCTTTACACAATATGATAAGAGTTTGCATATAATAAAATTAGTGTCTCTGGATACGTCGCTTTTATGCAATACAGTTTATTATTAGTTTACTCAACTTCGTGTGTCTGTTTGCTCTTACTTATAACTTTATATTTAGTTAGGAAAAGTATTTAGACTAAATTTTGAGGTAAAGGATCACATAACCATATAAATGTGAGGAAATATCATAATATGCAGGTTTCTATTTTAGATTTTTATTTTCATATTAACCTAATTTCGAGACAAAAGATATTTTAAAAGATTAAAGCCCTAGTTACGTTAAGAAATGTAAGCCTATTTTAACGAGACGTAATAAATAATAAATCTTGATAAATCAGACAGCAGACAGAAAAATAAAGAAAGCAAAAAAAACAGTTTCTTAATATAATATACAACGATATCCTCTCAATATCCTAAAGAAAATAGTAAGAATTACACCGTCTATAGGTTATTTATACAAAATGTTTGGCTTTCAGGGCCGTGACCCCGCTTACGTCACTGATCTAAATTCTCTCTCTTTCATTGAAGATTTCACCTACTTTAACCAATACGTGATCGGATGTTTTTGACAATTTGTTCCCATTTACCGTTTACCTGCCTAGTCGAGATCGATCAAATCGCTTCATTTGAGGGGTTTAAATGATGGCTTTTTTGCTCTATAAATATTTTGGAAAATATAACTTTGTTTTTGACCGCTTTTCTGATCTAAAACTTGATAAAATTAACTAAAGTTTTAGAAATTATTTGACTTCAGTGTTAATATGGATGTAGTACATCAATAAAATTAACGGTGTCTGTTCACAGAAAAAGTTTCTGATTTAGTGAGATTTTGCATTTACGTGTGGCAAACACTAGGTGAACTTCAATTAAGTTGTGAAAAATTAGTTATTCGAGATTATTTATTGAATTTTTACCAAATGACGTGGGAGTGATATAGTTCACACTTGTTTCCTTGTTCATTCAATATTCTATGTGTATTCATAATTTAGTATGTATATTAAAGTAAGTACGTACACCATTAATAATAGCTACATTTAGTACCGTCATACTCAATGCCTAAGATGAAAATATTATGATA